AACATTGGTTTTTTTTCAGATCAGATTCTTCCAATTCCCTTATCACCCCTATCAAATTGTATTAATTCCATGACTCAGTCCCCCTCTCTCCACACATCCTCACCCCTCTGCTTCCACCCCCCGCCCCGGGTCCTCACACTCAATTCTAAAATAATTGTTTTATATAATATTTGTCCTTGTGGGATTGAGTTAGTTCACTCAGAATAATGCTCTTCGGTCCTTTCCAAGTTAGGTAGTAATTTACAAAATCATGGTTCCTGCGTGCTGTGCAGTATTTCATTGTATGAATGTACCACAATTTCTCAATCCATTCGATTGTGGTTGGACATCTAGGCCGTTTCCATGTTGTTTTGATGGTGAATAATGCTGCTATGAACATTGGTGTACAAGTCTGCATTTGTGCCTCAGTTCTCATTTTCTCTGGGTATATTCCAAGCAGTGGAATAGCTGAGTCATTTGGAATTTCTATTTCTTTTTTGAGGAAGTGTCAAACTGCCTTCCAGAATGGTTGTACCATTTTAAAATCCCACCACCAATGTATAAGAGTTCCTATCTTGCCACACTCTCTCCAACATTTATTACTTGATGCCCTTTTAGACTTTGACACTGTTGCTGAGGTGAGATGATACCTCATGTGGTTTGGATTTGTATCTCAACAAATAGTGCTGGCAAAACTGGACTTCTATCTGCCGAAAACTGAAACAGGATTCACATCTGGGAATATATCCTAAAGAAACCATAACAGCTACCCAAACAGATATATGCACACTCATGTTTATTGCTGCATTATTTACAATAGCAAAGAGATAGGAGCAATTCAAGTGTTCATCAACAAATGAATGGATAAAAAAACTATGGTGTATCCATATAATGGAATACAATGCAGCACTGAAAAACAATGAACTTATAAAACATACACAACATGGGTAATCCTGAAGGACATTATGCTAAGTGATATATATCAATCTAACTAGCACCACTATTACAAAGCAGGTATGATACGGGGGTTGAGAGGAGAATAGTATTAGAGTAGATAATGAACATTGCATTGGAACAGATGAAGGAAAGAATTGTTTAAAAGGAATATGTGATTAGGTATTATATGGATGACAACCACCCAGAATAAGAGTTACATTGCAAAGAGGACTGAGGGGAACAGATAAGGGAGGTACTTGTACAACAATGAATGGATATTAAAAACAAAACAAAACAAAACAAGTGAAATCCAGGAAGGGAAAAGGAGGGTGATGGGGGTAAAATGTGCAACAATGAATGAATGAAAATCCAACTTTTCTGTAAACTTTCATTAAAATAAAAAAAAATATATTATTTTAAAAAACAACTCAAAGGTATTGATTCTCTTCTGTCATCCTTAGTCACTGTCCAGTTCTCAGATGCTTAGCAAACAACTGAGAAGGCTATGGCCTCGCTCAGGCCCATCGTAGTCTCTAGCCTGACATCTTTGCTCTTTAACTCTTTAGCATCTTTCTGGCCGGTTTTTTTTTTGTTTGTTTGGTTTTTTAGCATCTTTCTGCTTGGCATCTTTGCTTTTGATCAGAAGAAGTCCTGACAACTGATTTTTCCCAGTGCAACTCATCTTTTTGACTTCCCAACTTTTGGTTCCAAGGGTGTTGATTGTGGATCATGGTACGATGGGAGTGTTATAAAGACAAATACTGCATAATATCATTATTGTAAAAATAGAAGCAAAACATGTATGGGGACCCAAAGAGGGAAGGAGTGGGAGCAGAAGGGTGAGGATGATGAGGTGAAACCACAGGCTTGCACAGTCTGGTGGGTGGAGGAACGGGGATGAAGGAAACAGGAAGGATCCAACGGGAACCTGAAAAGAAAGGGTACTGATGATGGGCAAGGTCCAATGGTTATGAATTTTATAAAACATAATGCATGGGATTGATTGTATAAAACACAATGTGAATGAAGAAAAGTGCAAAACACTATGTATATGAACTTTGTAAGCAAACCAATAAAAAAATAACATTTTAAAAAAGATAACATTGTTAATAACTTCAATCTTTTCTCCATCTATCATGGTGCTGCCTATTGGCCCAGTGGTGAGGCTTTTAGTTTCCTTGATGTTGAGATGCAGTCCATATTGAAGGCTGAAGTCCTTGATCTCCTGCAGAAAACGCTTCAAGTCCTCCTTAGTTTTGGTAAGCAAGGTTCTGACATCTGCGTAAAACATGTTGTTGATGAGGCTTTTTCCAATACTAGTGTCACATTTTCCTTCATAAAGTCCACCCTCCTAAATGATCTGCTCAGAATACATACTGAAAAGGTTTGGAGAAAAGATATTATCCCTAATCCACTCCTTTCTTGATTTTAAACTATGCAGTGTTGTCTTGCTCTGTTCGGACAACAGCTTCTTGGTCTAAGTTAAGATTTCACATAAGCACAATCAAGTTCTCTGGGATTCACTAGAAAATGTAAATAGCTGTCCTTAGGTGAAGGTTATACAAAACCAAATGGCAAGTCAGATTTGTCTTATGGGTAATTGTTTTCTAACCTTTGTTTTAGAATTTATTGAACTAGGAAATGATATCAGGGAGAATAAATAGCTTGCTTGAGAAATCAGAGTTCACTCAGACACCATGGGCCTCATCTCACTTTAGGCTGAAAGAGACACTGAAGCCTAGAGACCACATGGTGAAAAATAGAATTTTTTTATTCTTTTTTACCAAACCGGATGACATTGGATTGTGAGTTGGAAGAAATATAATAAAAGCAAATGCATATCTTTATATTTGAAACCCTAAAGTCTTAATTATATTTGACAGCCCTATTGTGTGCCTGGCCTATGTGAAGTGATTTCAGATCTCCTTTACAGAATAAGACGGTACTAATCAACTTGTTGCCTGTCAGTATGTCAATAATAACTGCTATAATAAGTGAGCAACTCTGAAGAAACCAGAAGTGCTTAAACTTTAGGACCACATCACAGAAGTTTTAGAAACTGCAAAGCACAGTAATTCGAACAATGAGCTGGCTCACTGTTGGCATTTTCTGATGGACTGAACAGAGGAAGCAGAGAAAAGAAGTCACATTCACAGTGCCTATAGGTACTTGTCACTAGGGTGAAATGTACTTATATGTTTAATTTTCCTTTGTAGGTTAAAAAGTGCAACATTTAGTCTGTAAAGGGATCATCTATTTTTCGCCCCCAAGGAGTGGTCCAACCTCTCAAGGAAGGCACTATTTAGGAAGAATGCACTGTCATTATGATCATACAGAGTGAGCTCCCAGAGGGAAACTGGGGAAGCCCAGCCTTACATTGAACTTAACTCTTTCCTCTTTTATCTTCCCACTATCTAATTAGGTCCTCTATAGACACACACTAAAAATGTTGCTGTTGTAATGTGCCATTGAGTCACCTGCAACTCACAGCAACCCTATGTACAACAGCCCTAAACCCTGCTTTATCCTCTGCCAATCTTATTGTCTCTGACACACCTACCCCCACTATGCCAGTCACTGAATCAATCCACCTCATTGGAGATCTTCCTCTCCTGTGCTGACCCTCCACCCTCCTAAGCATGATGTCCCTCTCCAAGTACTGGACCGTCCTTGCTACATGTCCAAAGTATGACAGATGAACCTTCAGAATCCTTGCCTCCAAGGAACAGTCCGTTTTTACCCTCTCCAGGATGAGCCTGTTCATGCTCTTAGCAGTCCATGGTATATTCAATACTGTTTTCCAACACCACAGCTCAAAGGTATCAATTCTCCTTCTATCATCCCTGGTCATTGTCTAGCTCTCTGATGCATAGCAAGTAACTGTAAAGATCATGACTTCTATTAGACATACCTTAGTCTCCAGACTGACATCATTGCTCCTCAGTTCTTTGTTGAGGTCTCTAACAGCAGACTTTCCCAAAGCAATACATCTTTTAATTTCCTGGATGCTGGTACCAATTGATATATTTCAACAAACAGATTCTTCCCTAGATGTGCCCACCACGTTGTGCAAAGAAATATGGAGGACAACCACCTGCCAACTGACTAAAAGAGATCTGTATTTGTTCCCATCCCAAAGAAAGGTGATCTGACAGAGTGTGGAAATTATTGAACACTATCATTAATATCACTTGCAAAAAAGGTTCTGCTGAAGATTATCCAGAAACAACTGGAATAGCTCATCAACAGAGAGCTTCCAGAAGTGCAGGCTGGGTTTAGAAGGGGTCATGGTACTAGGGATATTACAGTTAATGTTGGATGGATCCTGGCGGAAAGCAAGAAATACCAAACAAATGTCTGTGTTTCATTGACTATGCAAAGGCGTTTGACTGTGTGAACCACAACAAACTGTGGCTGACTCTGAGAATAATGGGAATCCCATAACACTCGTTCAAGACTAAATACAGAGACAAACAATTTCCTCTATCATTCATTAAATTTGCTATAGCTCATGAAGCATGCATACTTTGAAGTTCCTGACACATTTTAATAGAACAATTTAGAACTTTTAAAATAGTTTCATATGCTCCTATAGAGACAAAAATCTAGCTGTCTATGTATCTATCTATCTATCCATTTGTCTGTCTACAGAAAACTCTCAAAAATGTTCAGGAACTTCTCTAAGACATAAACCTGAAAACTGACAGTCTAAGTTTCTAAGTCAGAACTTTTGGGTTCTAAACCCAAGTTTTTCTACAAACCTGTGTAAAAGGCCACACCACTGAAAAAAGACTCAAGAGAGATATGGACTTGCTATACAGTGAAAGAATTCTCAGAGCTCTTGGCACAGGAGAAACTAGGGATGTTTTCAAGGATATGAATGATACAAAAATCAAAACGGAAATGCAAGCAAGTATAAGAATCTTTTTCCTAGTTAAAATCTTTTAAGTTCTTTTACCCTTTATTCTTCTATCTCAACTGTGAAATTCTTAGTGGAACTCGCTAAGAGACTCTAACATTTCACTGAATATAAATAAGTTCAGAGATATTGAGTCCATACTGTTCCCGGAGTCCTTTGCACCAACCTGTATTTGAAGTTGGTATCGTGGGTGAGCAAGTCTCCTTTTCACATTTTCCCATCATTGAAGTTAAGGTCATGGTAGGAACTTCATTACTACCTGAGAACACACAAAGTGTAATAAGAGTTAGAGACACATAAGCCAGTGATAAGAGATAAACAACACAGAATAGAAATGAGAGTCATTACTACTCCAGCTTAGTGCCTGGCTATGTTCTTAGTCTTTCAGTAAGTCAGAATGGAACTCTGAAGATATTGCCTACAGAAGCAATTTTTTAAATATAAAATAGGTCCATGGACCAACCCACTAAAAGCCTTTTATACTTTTAAAGAGGCTGAGATAAAGTATTAATAACACTGCAGGCCTTAATCACCATGTGTAACAACATTTCTATGGCCAAATGCATTCAGGGTTCTGAAGTGGGATGTCAGGAACCCATTCCCTCAATGAAGTTGGCACCACCTGAACACGAACAAACTGGAATTTGTGGTTGAGACAGACTATGAGTTATTGTAGTTCCAGCAGTAATGAATGGAGTTCCAGGGAGTGATGGCATAAAATGTCTCAAGGAAGCAAGAACATTTGCCTATATTTCTGTTCAGAACCTTTCTTTCCTTTCACAGTCTCCAGGTTTCTGAAAGCCCCCTGTTTAACTAGAACAGAAGAGAAAATAGTAACAGCTTCTTTCCCATCTCCTGAAACAAAGTTTTAGAAGACCTCTTTGGTGAGATGGGGAAGATAGTAAAAGCAAAATGTAAAGAAATTCCTTTCAATCCTACCTTTTTTAACATAAAGTCATTTTAAAAAGTCCATAAAATGGAGGGAACAGTAAGTTCACTTTTGTATGCAAAAAAAAAAAAAGGCTTAAGTTATATTTAAGGACATCTCAGAGACACATACACCAATATTACCCTGACTGTTGGATTTGTAAGCAGTGATGAAGGTCCCAAGTGGCCAAAGAGAACTGGAGATAGAAGAAAATGGATAGAGATGGATCTGGATGGGGGTTGCTGGTAACATCAGTTCTGGAGCTGAGTATGTCTAGACCACACTAATAGAAAGGGGGAAGAGATTTCACATCTGCCTCCTTCCCGTGCCCTAACTAGGGCATTTAAAGAGGGGAAGAATCACTGTCAGCAACGAGTTAGGTGTGTCAGGTGGTCAAGAAGGGAGAGAAGTGGAATTTCTGAGTGTGCCCTGGTCGTGATTTCCTTACTTAGCAAAAATTTTCTGGGCACCATGCTAGGATCTGGAGTCAAGGCCTTGGAGAACCAACATCTAATAAGAGGGCATAGAGAAGGGCAGACATAGAACTCAGGAGAGAAAATGAAGTGAAGTTCTGCTTTATGTATTAGGAATGGGGAAACAGAATTCCATAAATGGAAAAAAAATAACAAAAAGCCTCAGAAAACTCCTTGGAGAAGGATCCATATAAAGAAAGATTTTTATAGAGGTGAGGAAGATAAAGTAGAGAAAACCAGACAATTCCAGGTGTAAAATAAAGAGCACAGAAATCCACATGGCAAAGGCCCTGGGCCGATGACAGCTTTTAAGTCAACCATTCCATAGCCAGCAATGATTCAAACCACTGGAATGGATGGAAGGTATTTTTTTTTCCTTATTTCTAAGGAAAAAATATTTTTATAACATAATTACACTTTAAAAAACACAATTTAAAAAATATTTATGCCTAGACCCATTAATCAATAGTTGCTGTATACATTTTGCATTAGAAATGAAGCCTCAACTTTAAACTCTGCACTGAATAGCTTAAAGTGATTATGTCCAAAATCTAGAAAATAAGTAATATGTAAAGATTTTTAAAAACACACAGTCTATAATTCACAAATAATTCAGTAAAACAATTTGGCAGTTAGATGACTTTTTTATCCAAATATTTATACTTGCAAACTCCAAAAAAGTTGTATATAAGAAATAACAAACAAGGCAGTAATAGAAAATATTTTATGCTCCTAAGAAGATTAATACAAAAGTATGAAATTCAAGAAAGTCACTAATTACTTGTTTCAATCATAGACATTTCTGTATATGTCTTAGTCAGATTTTGAAATGCCCTTTTATTATCTCATATTCTGATAAAGGCACTCCCATAATCTCATGAGTTTTACAATGAAGAAATCTATGTTAAATGCAAGGTATTAAATCCTACTTCCAGGCATTAAATCCTACTTTAAAAAAATAGAATGGTTTGAGGAGTGTCATTTTTGCAGTTTCCACTCTCCACAACCCGTAGGCAATGGAATCATCCAGAGAAATATGATCAGAAGAGTGTACCACTATTATCACTTCTATAGAGCCAAGCAGGAGAGGGGGAATGAGTTTA